AAACAAATCTGGGAGTGTCTTTCTGCAGTGACTCCCTCTTAAGTATGATTTTCTCCTCAATATTCAGTCACTTTACGAGCCTTGAACTCCTTCTTCAGACAGCTCCCACCAATAAGACTGAGGTTTTCAGTTTGAGTTCTAGCTGCCTAACACTGCATGGGTTGAGGTTATCTCTCAGGGAAAAAGCCTCATAAATGTAGATTTCTCCCAGTATGATTTCCTTCTTTCAAGAGTCAAATCCCTTTTAGTTCTCCCTGATTTCATTTGCTTGTCAGTGCCTTTAATTTTTTACAAATATTCTGCCCAGAGCTTACATATTTTTAAAATATTTGTCCAGAGTTTGATCCAAGCTAATAGATTGAGCCATTCCCATTTTTTTTCCTGTTGATTTTCTGAAACGGTGCATATAGAGTATGCTGTATGTTACTGAAATGTTTTTATTACAAACTACTTACTGTATACAAACAGAATTAATATTCAAATATAATTTTTTAGAACCTCTGAGTTTCTTTTAACATGTATGGAAAGATCATTGAAGAGAATAAGTTGAAGTTGTAACTTTTCTTCAAATTGCCTTCCCTTTCTTAATTAGTCATTCACAGACTGAATTAATTTCTTAGCCTGAGGGAAACCTACAATCTTTCCCTTCTGAGATTTTTCTAAAAAAATTGGAAGAAAAAAAAATACAGGTACACCCAAAAGAATTTAACACACACACACATATATATTACATTTATAGTATTTAGAAAATAAGCCATTGATTTTTCTCTTAAAAAGATATATAAAAAACTTTTTAGTAGGTAATAAAGAGCCCCCAGATAGATAAAAAAAGCTTTGAGGCTTTTTTTGTGTTTGTATTTTACTGCATCTTTAACATATACATGAAATGAATTGACTGGATATAATTATTCTAACTTAAAGCTAAGTAAGATTGCCAAATATCCATATTTCAATTTCTTATTTTCTTTTTCTGTCATATGTAGTAACAATTGCATTTTTCAAGCCGAAGAATTTTTTTTTTTTTTTTTTTGCTTACTGATTATCTGTCACTTATTATATTAGGAGGCAATTAAAAAATTATAAGTATTCCAGTAACAAAGCTCATGTCATGACAGTCACAATTAAGGAATGGACAATTGTATAGAAACTTAAAATATTGAAAGATGTTAATTTAGGTAATTTTAAGTGAAATACAAAGTTTTGCTTAGCTCTTCTGTCATTTTACAAAGACTAAGAATCTTCAAATGTGTAATGAATGTGAATTAAACGTAATACACTTTAATATATTGTTTATCATCAACTGATTTTCAAATTTACCTAAGAAGTAAAAAACAATTTTAATAAATAATGGTACTATATCATATTCAAGTAGTTGGCATATGCTATACTCAAGACGTAATCGTAGAAAATAGAATTGTAGCACTTGCGAGAAACACATACATACATGTAAACACAATTTAATCCAGAAAGGCTATTGTTCCAAGAGATTTATTTCTTTTTGATATCTACTGTTGTACTGAAGAAGCCTTTTAATTGTTTCTTTAATTATCCCTGCGTATCTACCTTAACATCTTGCTTGATAACCTTATCTACAGAACTGTTATTCTTTACTTGAAAAGTGATTTAGTGATGGTTAATCTTTCTGTTTCAATTTATGCTTTCCCTATTGTCTGATCTGGACTAGAAATAGCACTTGAAGTGACTCAAGCTCTAGCTTATTTCCCCTTTGTTTTAATTAAATCATGTATTGACATTTGATGTGTTTTATGGCTGATAATTTTAGATTGATCTTATGTCAGACTATGTATTGTTTCATCTATTCTATCTGTTTAGTTTTTTATTTCAGAAATGTCCATTAAGGGGACCTTTAGTTAAAATATTATATAAATATAACACACAACCTTACACAGACTTAAAAGCAGTATTGTTCTTTAGTTTGCAGTTTCCACTCACAAGGTGACTTTTACCTCAAAGTGTTCATAATTCTTTATTGTTCTCGCATTTCCAAACCAAAACCAAAACCAAAACCACTGCCCCTGAGTCATTCTGACTCACAGACACCCAGTAGGACAGAGTAGAACTGCCCCATAGGGTTTCCAAGGCTGTGATCTTTACAGAAGCCGATTGGCACGTCTTTCTCCTGTGGAGCAACTGATGGGTTCAAACCGCCAACCTTTCAGTTAGTAGCCAAGGACTCAAGCACTGTGTCACCAGAGCTCCTGTTTTTTGCACTTACAGACACATAAACACAACCAAATACATTCACATGCATAAGCATCAAACGGTATGTCATATAACAAATTTATATTGATTTAAAATTTGCAGTAATCATGCTTAATAATACAGCTATTGTTTCTCCAATCGTTTGGCCTTTTCACGCTTACATTACATAGTTGGTGTAATAGTATGTGGAACAGCTGCAAACTTTCACAGTAATAGGTACAATTGAATCTGATGTATCTCATTAATTTTTAGTCCAACAAATTAGTTTTCTTCTTCATTACTCTCCAATGGGAGGCAGACATTATATTTCATTATATTTTTTGTCTGCAAGAACAATGGAGCCTTACAGGTCACACACATCCCTTGTCTATGCTCTAATTATTGTTTCAAAAATACAAGCAGTATATGAAATAGTAATACACATTGGCTAATGTAAATATTGCACCTTATTAAATACGATATTTTATGGAATTTTTATGCAAATGAAGGAAAAATCTATTTCTTTTCTCTTTGTTCTATAAGACATTTGTTTTCTTTGTTATAACTACTAGTGGTGGTGAGAATTACCAGATATGTGTATGTCTCATATTGAAAATATAAGCTCATTTTACATTAACCCATTTCCATCGAGTCAATTCCAACTCATAGTGACCCTATATGACAGAATAGAACTGCCCCATAGGGCTTCCAGGGCTGTAAATCATTACAGAAGTGACTGCCACATCTTTCTCCCACAAAACTGTGGACCTTTCAGTTAGTAGCTGAGAATTTAACCACTGAACCACCAAGGCTCCTTTTAAATACATCATTGATTATATTTACATGTATAATAATTAAGGGAAGACAGAAGAAACAAAGCAAATTCACTACATATGTAGAGTTGATTTTTAAGTCTTCTAAAACAAAAGACCTTTCAGAAATGGATTATAAGTGTGTACAAGGAAATGCTAGCAGCTATAACAAACAAGCTTTCATTTTGTTTGGCTTAATGAAATAAGAGTTTCTTTATAATTCATATCCTAGTCTAATACGAGTCAGCAGAATGGAGGATGTGTTATCTGTTCCCTGAGTCATTCAGGGATGCTGGAGCCGTCCAGCCAATGGTTTTATTATCCATTAGCGGCTCAGAGTTTCCACCAGATCTCTTGTTTCCGTTCAACTCATGAAGAAAGAGAGTATGGAGCATTTTCTAGGCAATGTTATGGCTAGGTCTGGAGGTAGTGTGCACCATTTATGACTAAGTACTATTGCCCAGTACTCAGTCACTTCTTTGCACTCAATGGCAAGGGAGCCTGGGAAATGTAGTCTAATATTGTGCCCTAGAAGAAAGGCAAGGCAGTGTGGTGAACAAGTCAGCTAGTCTCCAACACAACCACACCTGTGGTTTGCTGGTTTCTCAAATCTAGACAGTTTACCACTGTCATTTACCACATACATGTTCACCACTGCAGTTTACCACATATGTCCCTGAAGTTGACCAAGTGGCTATTAAGGTACCCTTAGCTGTACATGGGTCATCATTTTTAGTCAAAAACTACAGTCTTCCTACAAGGCTCTTTACATACATCATCTCAATAAATCCTCTGAAATATAAAAAGTAGACAGTACTGTTGCCAACTAATAGAAAAAAAGGCCTCAAAAAGATTAAGTGTCTTACACAAGCTCACTTAGCTAGTACATTCCAGAGACACGATTCAACCCTAGAACTTCAAAGACTATGCTCTTTCTAATATATTACAATGTCATGATAACTAAAACAATGAATATCCCATACATTCCTTGATGTGCTGGGCTAAAACTTGTCATATTTATTTTGCTTACATTTTAAAAGTCTGTGATTAGTCACATACTAGATATGATATTGACATTAAAAATCACTTAATTTTCAATGTCTAAATTTCTTAATCTCTTAAATAAACACGTGAATTGTTGGTCTTCAGTGATATTGATCCCATCAGTTAAAAGCCTATTTAAAAACATGAATTAACATTTTCTTAAATTTATCTCAAAGAGGTCTAAATGGTCAGAACATGACCTCTTCCCAAATAATCTTAGTCCAGATTTAAATGTACATTTTAGTTCTGATGAATTTAGAATTAACTTCAATTTTTTATTCACCGTTCAAGTGGAATTTCAAATTAGTTTCAAATACTTTAAGAAAATATTTAAGTTTTATTTTCCGTGACAATTTTAATTATACATGCTGATCTCTGTGGACAGATGTTTACATAATTGTCGTTGTTTTATAGAGTAGGTTGAATACCTCCCAGGAAACGAAAGAACGTTTGAACGAAATAAGTCCCTTTGGTAGGATAAACCAGAAGAAATATCAGTACTTATTACTGCAAATCGTGGAACATTTGAGTATGGACAGTGATGAAGAAAAAAGGCAGTTTGCAAATACCTTGTTTTTTTTTTTTTTTTTTGTGAGACTTTTATTAAAAAAACACTTTATCTAACTGAAGAAAAATTGCAGTTATTTCAACTCCTAGTACGTGTTTTAGTATTCATTGTAAGGCAATAAATCCAGAAGTGGTTCTGAATTTGTGCATAGCAAGTGAAAATGCAAAAGAACAAAGTTGTCACAGTTTCAAACCAGTGATTTGCTTCTTCTTTTGGAACTTGTAAAGTGTGCTAATCAATAAGTGTGATAGGCTCAAGACAAAACAAGTATTACCAATTCCAAAGGAATTTCCTAGGCCTCTGGTGCACCATTTATGTGTTCCTGTGCTTATTTTTGTCTTAATATTTGCTAACATTATTATTTTTTTCCGTAGGAGGACGTAATGAAGTTGTCATTACTGAAAACAATAACAGCATAACTGAACAAATCACTGATGTTGTGAAGCAACCAGCCTTTATAGCTGGTATTGGTGGTGCCTGCTGGGTAATTTTGATGGGTTTTAGCATCTGGTTGTATTGGCGAAGAAAAAAAAGAAAGGGACTCAGTAATTATGCTGGTAAGAGACTATTTCCAGCTAAGAAAACCTCTTATCTTCGGGAATGTAATGAAATGAATGGGATGGAAAAATGAATGTGTGAGCAAATGAATGTTTGGGGCTTATTTTAAAAATCTGCTCTGAAAATGCAATTGTACACAACATGCCTTAATGTATTGCTCTTGACCACTTCACATTATGACTATAAGGCAATTTATTTGGTTTGTATCACCAGTGAAGCTTAACAAGAGTGCGTATGATAAAATTTACATAAGACCAAATTTATCATATAGAAAGTGCTTAACCATTTTGCTCAACTAATTTTTCCAAACACACACTCACGCACATGCACGCACGCACACACACATGCAGTCAGATGCACATGCACACAGACTTTGCATGCTATCAAGCCATTGTTTGGAAAGTGGATTTGGACAAAAGCATTACTAAAATGATCAAGGAGAAAAAAGGTTTGAAATATAGCTTTTAGTATTTCAGGATACAAACTATAGTAGGGAATGAGCCAGATGGAAAACACTAGCAAGCAAAAGTCTCACCCGAATTGATATATGTCTACTAAGCAGGTATCTACTTCAACAGGACCAATCAACATTTCAGAAGGAAGAAGTAGAAGAAAAACAAGCCAAAGCCAAAAAAAAAATGACGATTCTACATGATCTACCTAGTTACAAAATCCTTTTCTCCTTAGAATCCAAAGTAGAGTTTCAAAGAATGTCAGAAAGGGTGACATTCAAAATATCTCCAAAGCAGAAGGAAACAGAGAGAGAGAGAGAGGGAGGGAGGAAGGGAGAGGGAAAGAAGAAAGGGAGAAAAGTATAAAGCCAATGATTGAAAGAATGAACTCAACACTGAAGCTATGTTTGGTACAGCTGTAATTGAGATTCATTTTAATTTCCCCCCTAATAACAACAACAATGAAAAGAAATTACCTCACCGTATTTCACACTTACCTAGAATTTACAGGGGACCAATTTACTATAACATGATCCTACAAAACACTTTAGAAATTTTTGAGACTTTTTATTCGATTTTCTATTTCTAATTTTAACTTTGATAAGAAGCATAAATATTTTAGTAATTGATTTTGAAGTGGGCATCATTGCTCATTAGGCTTCTAAACTGCAGTAGCTTGTTGGCTTCTAAGCTGTCAGTAATGTCTACATAGCATAAAATGCAAGGAGTAACATCCACTTGATTGCCTGGTTTGTTATTGGACAGCATTTAAATATGATCATTTGCTTATAAGATTGAGGCTCATGTCTATATCTTATGAAGATAAAGTTTATTAGTTACTGGTTTGAATAACTGTCCAGGACTACATGTCCATTTAAAAAGGACTTCCATGCTTCCCGACTTGCCATCATTCTACCACTTCATTTCTCCTTGGCTGCTGGCTGCCTGCTTCCTTGCATCTTGCCATCTAAGTGGTATATCACCACACCAAGGAGGGATTCGATCCAGAAAGGGGAGCTTGGCAATAACTGTTGAGTGCCAGAGTCTTGAGCATTAAAGAAACTTGAATGCAGCTTCGTGCTTTGCAGTCCAGTCCTTTACCTTCTCCCTTTAGGTATTGTCCATCAATATGTCTGTTTAATCAAGCACTGTTACATTTCATGGTTGTGACACGTTTATAATCCATCTAAAACACAGGGAAGAACTGATTTAACTCAAGGACTGTTTTGTGCTTATCCCTTTGTTTGACTTCAGTGATAAAAACAAAAGATTAACTACGCTAGTCTTGTCAGAAAAAGTGGCACAGTGGTTAAGCGCTTGCTGTTAACTGGCAGGTCGAACCCACCAGCTGCTCCTCGGGAGAAGGATGTGGCTGTCTGCTTCCCTAAAGGTTGATAGCCTTGGAAACCCTGTGGGGCAGTTTTACTCTGTCCTATAGGGTCGCTATGAGTAAGAATCAACTCAATGGCACAGAACAACTGTCACTTCAGGGCAAAGTTCTAATATATCTATATTTAAAGTGTTGCCTTATTGCCATCCATGCTTCTTCATTCACTCATTTCTTATAAATAACATGGCTCTCATAATTATGTTTGTGCTTTTAAATGAAATTTTCTGACAAATACTTCCTCCTCTCCCTCCGCCTCCTCCTGCTTCAACAGCAAAGCAGGCCAAATTCTACTCTTTGCCCTTAATTTGAAAGTATCTGTTGGTCTTTGAGCTTGACAAGAGTAGTATATGTCCTATTATCATTTCTCATTGTAATTGATATTCATCTACTTGTAGAAAAACTGTTAAATCAGAAGGTGCTATGCCCTTCAAATATTTTGGAATAATGCCAAGCCAGAGAGTAGCGTTTCATAAACCTTTATACTTTACTGATAGAAGGCTGACTCTCAGAATGGATTCACCTTCATGTAGTGATTTACCTGTAGCAACTGCTATTTTCTGCTAGGTGAGAAGCAAATGAAAATACAAACCACAATTACATAGCATTATATATATGATATGGCAATGTTGTCTACATATGTCCTTCCATAATATCCTATTCTCTGCCTTTTTGAATTTTTATATTATTGTCCTTAATACAATGTAGAGAACATAAGTTTTAAGTAGGAATGAGTAGTGTAATATGGATTTATTATATTCAAATTTCTGGTATTTCATATGTGAGGTATTGATCCATTTTAATAGAGAATATACTCTATTATATCAGTCCTGTTAGTTTTTGGTTTTCATAAAATTTTTTGGGGAGAATCGTATGTTTTTACAAGTATGAGAACTAAACTTGATAAGTTAAAGCAATGTGATTTCATTCACAAGATAAAAACCTAAGGTTTCTACTTTTTCACTACGTTTCAAAGTTTATTGTTGATTTATGATAGCAGTAATAATTTTTTTGCTAATAAACAAAAAGTATAATTTGTTTTTGTTGTGTGCCATTGAGTTGATACCGACTCATAATGACCCTATGTGACAGAGTAGTACTGCCCAATAGGGTTTTCTAGGTTTTCATCTTTTTGGGAGCAGATAACCAGGTCCTTTCCTCTGCAGAGCCGCTGGTGGGTTCAAATGGCCAACCGTCCAGTTAGCAGTCGAGCGCTTAACCATTGTATCACCAAGTTTCCTCTATACTTTAGTATCAGTATTTAAATTAATTTATAACATAAAACATTGTATTTACTTTGAACCTCAATTATAATCTTGTATCACATTGGTTTAAACTTAAACCTTTGAGATAATTTGCATATATTAAGAGACATGCATTTTAATAAAGCTAGACTGACTGACTCTAAGTAGAAATGTAAGAAACCAAAAAACCAAACCCATTGCTGTCAAGTCGATTCCAACTCATAGCGACCTTATGGGACAGAGTAAAACTTCCCCATAGAATTTCCAAGGAGTGATTGGTGGGTTCAAACTGTTAACCTTTTGTTTAGCAGCTGAGCTCTTAACCACTGCACCACCAGGGCTCCAAGTAAAACTGTAAAGCGGGTAAAATTTGATTTCTGCTCTCCTTTTTTTCCTAAATCTTCATTCCAAGTTTCTTCGTAACCATTAGAGGTAGGCCAGTGAAGATAATTACCCAGTGGGGAGGCATATAAACACTGCAGGGTAGAAAATCTAACTGAGCAGGATGACTTTGACTCACTCTATGTATGCAAAAACCTTTAAGGAGGCTGAGCTTTGACTCTCATTGTGGAGAGTTATATTTGAATGCTTAGAAGGAATTAGGAAAAAAAAAAAAAAAGACTGCTGTTCAGTGTTGATATTTTCCTTTAGGTTTCAAAACATTTCACTATTTATCACAGAACACCGGTGGATTAAAACCTTAGATTGTATAAAGCAACTATCAAGGATCAAATATAAACCTGTGTATAGGAATGATCTGAGAGGAGAATCTGGCCTGAGCATGTTTTGCTTCTTTACACAAGCAGAATGTGGAGATGTTCGCAAGGCAGCTTTACGCACTAACTTGCTGTTTTGTTTTCATATTTATCCTTTAAATTCTTTAGATACAAACATGCACCGCAGGTTTGCACATGGCACAAAGAAGGGCAGCTGGAACAAAAAAGGTATCCCCATATCCTACATGCAATCATTTTATTCTTTCTAGAGCAACAGGCGATGCTATTTTTCTTAACCTTCAGTGAGTACTAACAATTTACCTGTTGCTACAAGTGTGTGGGGTTCCTGCCTTCTAGAAGAATTCACTACCTGAGTTGTTATAGAGTGAAATAGAATTGTAAGCCGATTTGAGCAGAAAATATGGACAATATTAGGTGATTTTTAAATCTAGAGTAAATGTTTGATTATATGTATAAGACTGTGAATAGAAAAATGAACATGAATTTCAACAGAGCCATGTAGCTTTCATTAGAATTAAGTTATAAGTACTTATAGCCAATTTTTAAAGTCATCAACTTTTTAATGAAAGTAAATATATTTCCACTTGTAAAGGAGCAAGTTATAGTTTGTGACTATTACCTTTGAAGATAATAGATTTTATGAAACTCAGTAAATATAAACAATTTAATATTAGTGGGGAAATTATGAGATGCTAAACACTTCACATGTAGGTTTTAAAACCATTGGTGAGATATAAATTATTTGACAAACCCATCCAAAGGCAGCTAAAAGATTTGATGGAATTTTTTATAGTCTGATTATCTGGGCTGAGTTAAAGCTTATTTAAAGAGGATTAATCTACAGTCATATTTTAGAAATAGCTTATCAAGAAAGGGAATGAGGCTTGCCTGGCAACATTAAAGTTTCCATTTGGAGTAGGAAAATGTGGCCTGCTAGAGATAGGCACTTTGAAAGCTTCCTCACCTCAAAGTGTCAATTTACCACATAGTTATGTGCCTCATGGTTCTAGCAGGCAGGAGAGATTAGGATTAATCCTTCCAGAAATAGTAGAGGTACTTTGTGTATGATATAAACTTGCAAAATCTTTTACCTTATGTCCTTTCTAAAAATGACAATAAACTCAAAATATTTAATATAATTCTAAAACATTTTGATTGCGGTGTTGGTGGAACTTCTTA